GTGCAGAGCTCTCCCAGAGTCAGACCTGCAGCCTGGGAAGCACCAGGACACGGTGGGGAGGCTGACTGGGAGCACCTGTCCTGGCCACCCACCTCATGGTTCTGCCCACAATAATGACAGTGCTGTGATTTTCAATATGCAACCCAGTGCTCAGTGTTTTGGGGTGAGGGAGGGAAGTCCCCAAACTCCAGCACATGGCATTGGCCCAGCTGTGCAGCCCCTAACATCCAGAAGCAGGGTTTGACTCTGAAGTGAGACAGTGCCCAGTCTACTCACCTCCTGACGTGTCACTGGCTCCAGAATGGGTGCAAGCCTGTGCAGAATACACAGGCTTGTGTACACTGTGCGTGCATGATCCTCTGAGTCATCCACTACAGGCCCTACACTGAGTTTTTGCCCTAACAGTCATTTGCAATTAGCATTTGCATTAACAGGATCATTATTTTTATCTATTAGAATCTGGAGAGGGGAAAACACAAATCAGGAATATCTGCTCTATAAAGTAGCTTGCAATTGTACTGACTGGTCCAGTTCACCAATTCCTCTTCATAAACTGATAAAAAATCAGTTTAAAAAACCACACTAAAATGAGGCTGTCCCTCAAAACAGCTGCTAAGCAGAGACATATTACTACCTGATAAAAGTAAAACATTGTCTGAATAGAGCTTGATTCAAACTCAGCTTGAATCAAGAGATGAGGGATTACAACACTGAGGAGAAAACACTCACAAGAGCAGATTCTTCTTTACCCACTTAGAAGAGTGTCTGTAATGGATATCATTCAGCCTCTCTGTCTTGATGAGAAATATAGCAGACTGCTGGCAGGAACACTGGGCCTCCCTTGATTCAATCTTCAGTCCAGAAAAAGGGGTTGAAAACATGCTGAAGCAAAGCTATTTTTTTGTTTTATTTATGCAAAACAAGCAAGTTCCATAAACACACTTCAGAGACCTAGAGTCTATACACAAGTAGTCCAGGATGTAAACAGAGCATTTTATGCCTGTTCAGGTGAGGATAGTGAATGTCTATAACCACCACCATCTTATGAGTTCAAAAGAGTGAAGATTTCCCCTTTTCACAGGGGATTGCAGCAAATGTTTCAGCTATGGCTGAATAGCATTTTTTGGTTGCAAAGACAAGTGCAGATCCTGTTTTAGCACAAAGTACTTTTCACACTACACCCTGAAGTCCAAAAGCAGAGGTTAAAAGTGCAATAGCAGCATTTGAAATCTGGCTGGCCAGCACCTTCCTCTGTTTACCAAACATGATTAGTTTACCTTCTTCACAAAATAAGTCACTCAAACAACTTTTCCACTGTGTATTTTCCATTTCTCTAATCTCAAGAGTGAGCTTCCTAATTATACAAACATTCTCTTTAAAAGACCAGGAAAGAATTAATTAATTAATAAGAGGAAAATTAATAAAACATTTCAAAAGAGACATTATGGCAAAGAGCCATGACAGTACTGCAACCACAGGTCCAGTCTATGCAGAGCTATTCTCTGATGTCTCTTCCACATCCATCCTACCTGCTTCTTCCTGAAAGGCATGGTGGAAGGTCCAAGTGGCATTGAAATAAAACCCGGGAGTAATCTGAGGAAGGACCAATTTGCAACAATTGGAACATTTCCTAGCTTACCACAACACTCCTACCTATGTCTCCTCCAGATGACGAGGTGAGGAGTTCAATCAGGCCAAGTCTGCTTCTTCTGGCACCTTTGTGGAGCCTAAGAGATATTGAGAGTAAGAAATACTGCCTGCTGAATGAAGTAGGAAACATGATTTACTTCCAGCTTCCTCGGCCAAGGCCTGTTTCTCAAACATCAAGTGAATTTATCTCAAGCACTAGTATACATAGCTCCAGTTGGATATGCCATTTATCTCTCCCAAGGGGGAAGCCTGCAAGTGTTTTCACCACTCTATATATTTATTAAATTCTACTAGATTTAGAACTGAGCTTAAAATTTCAGTTTCTCTTTGGTCTACTCCACAATCTGGGTCACAGACCTGAGAATATTTCAGTACACTGTGATTACCTGCAGAAACTTGACCTCTGTGCCAAAAAAGCATTAAAAAAACCACACATAACAGGCACCCCTAAAAGAATTGTTTACGTTATCAGAGCCACTATTCTTGTAGCAATTCTGTTTCACTTAACACCTGCAAAATTCCCATTTTGTATTGGGCCAGAGCTCCTTCACACAAGGTACAAAGTGTCATCTTTGTTTCAGTACTTCATTGAAAACTTTTATTTTCATTCCATTCCCCATTCCCTCTCAAACTGACATCCTGCCTTTCAAAAAGTAGGGTGTAACCTTCATGCATATCCACTCAACTTCTGCCTAACCTCTTACCTGAAACTTGTGAGGTCACAAATTATGGATTCCACTTATTCCTTAACGGCTCTATATTTCTTTCAAACAAACCAGGATGGGGATGTTTTTATGAATTCAGTCAGTCTTCACATTCCCAGAAATATTTTGCCAGCCTGGCTCAAGTTTTCAGCTCCCCTACAACTCATAAATCATTCCCATGTCAGATCTATAAATGGATAAGCCTTAGTTAAGGCATCATTTTCCACCTGTGGCTCTCCATGTTTCTTTACCAAGGAGGAACGTATATTTATCTCTTTTAATGAATGATTAAGACAAATAAATTCACAATCCATAGCAAGCTCAGTAATGACTCCTACAGATGGCTGTTGGAACTCTGTCACTAATTCAGCTAGAGGGAGATCACCCTTTGGTACCAGCAATTTACACATGAGGAAAAATTACACAGATCTCTTACCTGGTTCTTCACAAAAACAAAACACTCCAGAAATTAAAAAAAATAATAACATTCTGCATATTACATTATTGAGTGGCAACTCCATTTTTATAATAGGTTACCTGAGCCTCAAAAAATGTGGTCAACAAGACTTGGTTAATTACTATGAAATACATTTCCTTATAGAAAAGCAACAAACTGTCTTCCAGAAACACAGAGAAATCAAATAGTATGATACCATATCAGCAATTTTTTTTTGCTTCCAACACCTCTCACTTTCTTTTTCTGTGGTCTTAGCTAAACTGTATGGGATTTGTGTTAGAAAAAGGGTCTCTCCCTCTCTCTAGCAGACACAGCCTGACATTTTTTAACAGCCAGTAAGTTAAAATGGGCATATTCACATTAGTAACCATTTTAAAAAGCATTGACGAGATCAATTAACTGCTGAAACAACTTTCTAAGGATGATAATGGCTATCTCCATCACTGGAAACTTTCAGCTAAAGCTGAAAGCAACTAAAGCAGCTAAAGCTGCTCCTTACTAAGTAGTAATTACATTAATGGGATTTTGTGGTGGTCTTTATTAGTAAATTAAAATAGATTATCTGAATTTATTTATCCCCAGGCTGGAATATAAATCTTCAGAGTTTACCACACTCCTTTAAAGGTCAGTAAATCTATAATTATATTAATTTATCCTGTATATTGAAAGCTCTTACCAAACCAACTTAAAAAAGCAGGTGCAGTTTTCCTCTTTGTAGAATGAGGTCCCTGGAAGCATGTACAAAAGTAGCAATTGGACAGGGGAAGGAAAACAGTTCAGACAAAGCATCCACTCTGAAACGTTAATTTTATTAAACAATCGTGTTTTACATGTCATCAGACCTAACCCCTGAAGTGCAAAAATGTTTCTGAGGTATTAAGACTGGAGGAAAACAGGCACAGTATTGGTTGTTAGGGATACTGCCCTACAGCACAGTGGAATTTGCAAACAACAGGCCTTTATACAGCATTTGCAGGGTCAGAGAAAACTGAGAACAAGACTGTATTTGTCTTTAGCCTTGAGAGCCAAAAAGCCCTGATCATTAGCCAGTTCTGACACAGACACAGTTAACACAGGATGATGATAAATATCAATGAGGTGTTTCTAGGCCAATATGTACAGTACACGAAAAATGAAATTTAACTGCTGTATGTGTGACCAAAATCCCAACTGTCTATCCATTCCAGCTTAATATGTTGTGTCTATGGTGGCCTCTCTAGTACCAGCATTTTTATCTACACAGCTAAGCCACTGCCTTGTGCTCCTGTTTGAGGGCACCTGCCCCTCACATTTACTTCAGGTAAGTCAGATGTTCATCAGACTAACTAGAGGCAAAAGAACAGTACTGCTTGTAGCCTGTTATCCTCCTAGCTGCCCTCTTCCCCTCATCCGTGCAGTGGACAAGTCTAACTCATGCAGAAAATCTGCTAAAGAAATCAGCACTGGTTGATGACTGTTCACGTGGAAATGAAAGTTTTATCTGAGAACTGAAAATCTCACGGGGCAAAACTTGCCCTTAACAATTAGTATATTACTGAGAGCTTTACTCAGTTGCCAAATTGTGCTCCAAAAATAATTTTCTGTGAGGAAAGTTTGGGTGATACTTGATAAATGATACCCCCACAAGCCAATGGAAGATATATATAAGAAAACGCTTCCAAATTACAAATAAGTAAAAGTCACTTGTTCCAAGCCTCTCTTCAGTTATTTTTAGCCAAGACAGCTGAAAACAAATTCCTCCTGAGACACACTTGTATTTGTGAAAAATGTAATAACAAAAAAGAAGTTATCCTTATCTTACTAGGTGTTCATGAACTTAGGAACTTTCCTGAATACATCAGCCTTTGTATTAAAGTGACATACTTGGAAAGGTTCTCATCTGCAGCCTCTTCAGCTTTTAGACCTTACTGAGCAGATGAAGACGTCAGCTCTATTGTGAGCACGTTCATGGGCAAATGTCATGCAGTCTGATCGCAAACACAATTGAGATTCTCAACATTTTCTAGGCTTGTTACCAACATCACTCTGCTTACCTACAAAACATCATCTAGCAAATCTACAAATACAGAATAGCTGGAACAGAAGCTGGATACCACTGGAGTGTTGCCTTAATATTACTTTTTAATGGAATCATACTTCACAGACGAGAAAGGCAACCCCAAACAAAAAGTGCAAACAAATCATCACTTTCAGTTGAAAACTGGGTTTCGGATGCCACTCAGGACCGAACTGTTGGGCCAGTTTCTGTGCAGAAGGGTTAGAGAACACACAAAAAAGAAAATGCTTGAAATTCCTAGGACGACAATGCCTGAAATCAGCGCACTGGTGACCGTGTTCATCTGGAAAGGAGGTCCGTTTGGGTGAGCTGCAAGGAGAAGAAAAATTCTCAGGTGACACCTGGTTTTATCTCTCATGAGTGCTACACACTTCTGCCATCCCCTTCCAACACCCAATATACTGTATAATTGCAAGGAAGGAACTAAAACTAGCTTACCTCAGAATGTGCACCTGTCTGCTTGGATAAAGCTTATCTAAGTATATTTTGAAAACAGTTATTAATTCTTTCAATATAAATCATGTTGGGGGATAAAGACATGTGCCTTTTGAGGCATTATCCCTCATCTTCCAGTGACCAACCTTGACCTGTGCTACTCAAGGCAAGACTATCATTATCCAAGGACTTATCCAAGAACTTATCCAAGGACTATCAATGTAGAAGTATAAGGATTTGTGGCCTAATCAAGTTAATGAAAAGATTTCTTTCCCACTGTCATTGTCTACATTTCAATTCAAAGTCTATATAAATCAGCAGACATGTCTGGCACTGGATATTGGACATTCTGGAAGCTTGTTGCACACCTTCAGAAAGGGCTTCTTAATATGTTTATCAATTCTCAGATAGGAAAGGTGACATATTGAGTACTTATTGCAGATCAGCAAGCTGCTCATGGACCAGTTCTGAGATAATGGGCCACATACACCCACAGCTGGTACTGTGTTTTCCAGCAGGAGGGGAAAAAAAGCATTTGAGCACCCATGAGAATTTGCCATTACCAGTGGTGGAGAGTGAGGTGAAATGACAACACAGTCTTCATGTGAGAAACCAGACTGCTCCTCCCAGAAGCAGCCCCCTGCTCTCAACACCATTAATCCCACTCTTCTCACCCAAGCTGAAAGGAAATCAGCACTGTTGATCTGGTCACCCTCCCCTTCCCAACACTGTGCTGCTTTCTGGCTGCTGCAGCAGTAACCTCACCCCACTCTACCTCTGTGCTCTCCACAGAGACACCAACAGGCAAAGGAAAGGCTTTTGCTCTGGGATGGGAGGATGCTTCTTTTGTTGGATGGGAAGGAAACATAGCAGCCATCAACACAGCAAACTGTGTGCAGCAAATAAAGAATTGCTTTTTATCATTTTAATTATATCCATGGGTAGGAGCACACCAGGGAACAATTAATTACAGGGAGAACTCTCCATGACAGACAAGAACAGCAACTGATTTTACATGTTCTGACTTGAGTAGAGAAATGAACAAATAGCATCAGAGTTCAGAGGACAGAATGGATTCTTTGTTCCACTCAGTCCTGTTAGGAAGAAATACAAGGTGGAATGGCCCAATGTACCACCTGTTCATCCTTTCTTAGCCATCAGCCACTCCTTGCTGCCAGCAGAAAATAGTAACAGACAGGCTGACACAAGTGTTCCAAGTGCCCAAAGGAAAAGCACCCTGAAACTTAAAGAGCTGAACCCCCCTGCAGCCTATTTCCTTCACTGCCCTAGCAGGGCACAAGTTCCATCCAAGTTTTTCCACAGTCTCTTTGTGAGGTTAAATGCTAGGAGAACAGGAGCTGAAGCTCTGACCTTCTGGCTTTGAGATGTGAACCAAGCTAGACTGCACCATAACAACAATTTTCCTATTTTACTCCTGTGTGGCATGGGAAAATTTTACAGTTTAAGTCTGGTTTTGCATCATTTCTCTGGTGGCTGTAATGTACCCTTCACCCTCAAATGCTGTAGCATCAGATCTTCATTTCAATTTCATCACAGGAATTAAAATTTCAATGTAGATGGTGTTGGGTGCACAAATTAAACTGAGAATTCCATACTCACCAATCACTTTCTTTTCAGAGCATGTTGGTATTGACTCATTTAAGCAACAAAAATAAATAAAAATTTTAAAAAGGAAAAAAATCCCAGTGCATAGATATTAATCAAAATGGTTCATCCTCAGTTCTGCTTCCCTCATAAACCCTCTTATGTTTCTTGAAATTCTGATTAACTTACCAAGCTGTGAATTGTTAGTTGGCATCTCATCTATATTAAAAAAAAAAAAAAAAAAGGATGTGTTATATTTTTAAAATATCTATGCCCACCTCCTCCCTCTTGCAACACAAAAGCCAGTAGTTGTAGCTTTATTTTAAAAATACATCAGGTCAACTTTCCACATTGACTAGCAGCTTTTAGCATCTCTGTTAAAATATGGACAATAACATTAATTGCATGTCATTGCTTCATTTTTAATACCAGGAGATATTAAAATATTAATTTAAATTTTTAAATTTAAATTGTGGAAAAACAAACCAATGCCACCCTAAATCAAGAATCTCTTAATTGAAAAGGTGGCCAGTCCTGCTGTCTCCCTCAGTAACAACAGAAGCATAAGCACAATGTTATATGTAAGCCCCTTCACTTAATCATATTATAAAATAGCTCTATAGGAAAAACCTTGAGTTTTACAAGAAAAAATATGTCAGCGACCATAAATTATTACAAAAAAGTTCTTTTTGCCATGCTCATTTTCCTCTTGGCAGTTACATAGTGGCTTTATATTCAGGCTAACATTTGTATTTTGTCTTCAGTTTTTACTTACCAGTGTCCATTTCAGAATTTCAATTCTTGTCACTGTTTTGGGGGCTTTTTGTGCAATCTGTGAGCACAGTTCACATATACATTTGTTTTGAGCAGCTGTCTCCCAAGCTTAAGTGAGATATCCATCAAAAGCTACATAATTTTAACTTCACAAGTAGGTCCCTGCTTTGTCTCCATACAGAGACTAAAGCATTTTCTTCTGTGTACGCCTCCTGTAATGACTTATTTTGGATTAACAAAAAGGAATAACATTTCTCTGAAAAGAGCCAAATGTTAGAAATATGAGCTCAGAAACACTCGGGAGAAGGACCATCACTCTTTTGCAGCAGCACTCTTCTGTTCCTACCAAGGCAGCTGCATCAGCAGCCCCACTGCCAGAGCAGCAGGTGACAGTCACAGGGGGACCCAGCTACCTTGAGGAGCCCCTGCAGGAGCTGATGTGCCCAGGCCAGCCCTGGGACAGCTGCAGCTCCACCCTAAATGAGGGAAGGGCACATCTCTGCAGTCCCACTCCTGGCACATGGACTGTGGTGAGGCAGGTGCAGCAGGTTTGATGGGCTCTGGACAAATGTATCTGTGTTAAAGCTAGACCAGAGCTAGCCTTGAAAATAGTGTAAGCGCTTCCATGCACCCTTACATCAGTGCAAGCCAGCGCTACACCCTGGTATTCCTCATCCAAAATTCACCTAAATTCAAAAAAATTATCCAAAATTTTCCAAATTTATCCAAAATTATTCATCATCCAGATAGTTTTGGTGAAGTTCTCACATGACCTTCCCCCTTTTAGTTTGTTAAAACAGTTTCATCAACCTCCTGGTTCTCACGAGTTTATTTTCACAAAGGGAATTGACAACAGGACTATCTTCTGGATCAGAAACAGGGAATTAAAGGGAAATGCAAGGGAGATTGAGGGACTTGCCCAATGCCAATCATTAAACTTGTGTCAGAATTTAGAATTGAATCCCATTTTTTTTCAAGTACTTCCCATTAAACCATCCTTCTGTCAGCATGAGCGGAATGCTCCAAAAGCACACTATGAAGATGAAGAAATCAAAAAAGCTTTGTCCACCCACCTTTAGAATATGTTTAAAAATTATTTTCCTTTTTCAGCCTTATTCATGATTTTATTTAAACAACCTCAACAGTTGTCATGAAATTATAAAATTGTTTATACTTTCTTTGGCACCATTAAACATCCATCAGATCCCTTTGCTTGAAGCTATGCAATATTTAAAGATAATTGATCAGTATCCTTTTATTTTAATTTTTGAATTGTAAAAATAGCATCCACAGCATTTGAATCATGAGCTATATTACCTACCAGGGGCTGCTTGTATAAGAAGCTGTATCTAGTTTCCATTCCTTGCCTAAGGCAGCATTACTCCAGCACGCTTGTTTGGCTGAGCAAATCCATCACTCATTTCCCATATGGACTCATGTATGCAACTTTGAAGTTAGTTCTTCTCACTTTTCTTGGCTAATCAGATGGCAGCAACTCAAATGGGACCATGTATAATGAAAAAAATCACTCATTTTCATTGCAGATATGCTGCTCATAACAGAGCCTGTTTGCTCTAGAAATGGTCTCTCGTGAGGTGGCTCCCCATTCTCAAGGGTCAGTTGCTCTCTTTGTATACAGGTACAACTACTTGGTATTTAAAGAAGGATTTTATTCTCAAGTTTTAAATTAGATTTCCTAGACCAGGTTCAGTCCTACTCTCAGCATCCTAAACCTAAGACTGCTAAAATCAATTGCTTAACTGCAACTACTTATAAGTATTTGTAATTTGTAAAACTTAAACAGAAGTCATATAACTTTTTTCAGAGACTGCAGGTTACATTTAGAGCTGCCTTTTATTTTTTTCCTAAAACAATTGGCAATAAAAATGAAAATCATGGAATTTCACCCTCAATTAAAACTGGATTTTGTCCCACTGTTTAAAATTTACAATGGTTTTGTCCCATTTCTTTCTTACAGCTGAATCTAAGAATAGTGTGCATTAATTTTAAGCAACATGTAGATAAAAACCCAGAGGGAAGCTGGAAGAAATGGTGAATAGAAAGTGACAGTGAATATTCATTATCCAGCCAAATTAAATTGCAACACTGAACACAATGCCTTAAATTCTATTATCTCCAGTGAAATCTGACAAAAAAAATGTCAACCCACTGAGTCTGGACTTTTATAATAGCCTTATATGCGTAACAGTATCCTACGGTGATTTTATTGGAGGAAGAAGCATGTGAGAGCCAAACAAAAATAGTAGCTCAAAATTTCTACCAAACAAAGTAGTAAAAAATGTCGTAAAAAATATTCAGTAGTAGTAAAAAAATACTCAGCAAAAAGTGACTGCAAATTTACATTAAACTGCAAAACATTTGCCCAGGTTTATGAAATTCCTGCAGTCCATAGAGAAAGATTGCTTATTCCTACCACTCCTTGTAATGATGGGGCCAGCAGAGATTACAGCATTGCCCGATGTGCTCTGAGGGTGCCAAGTCGTCCTTCCACCAGTGTCTCTTCTTTCTCTGTTACTGCAGATCTGAGTGGTCAATCAAAACAATCACAGACTCAGAGTGGAACAGAACTGTGGCCTTTTTGTGCTTCCTGATGTAATATGAATTCTTTGGTAAGGAATACTACAACTTTGATTTTATTTCTTAGTATGCATTAAATCACTTTGCAATAAAAACATCTGCAATATTGCCTAGGAGTGCATCTTATAAATTCCTGGCTTCCCATTTTATTTTGCCTCACTTTGTTTACAAAGCTACATTACTGTTGTGTACAAGATCCATCTTATAGTATATTAAATTTTCAGTAGTTAATTTCCCAAAGCTATGTTTACAGACAGTTTTCCCCAACAAATCTGTTTTGCTTGACAATCCCTATTTTAGCAAGCTTCTTGAGTGAGAGTTTGCACATCTTCCATGGAGTTCTAAATAGCAATGACACACTAAAACAATCCTCAGCACTCTCATCTGGAATGCGCCTTTAACATTTGTAACCTACCATCTACCTTAATCTATGGTACTCAAGTGTGCTCCAAACAGGAGCATTTCCTTACTTTCAGCTCCTTGTAAAAGAACTTCAAAAACCTCAGAATGTAAAATGAATGCAAAATGAATTTTGTAAATGTGTAACATAAAAATATAAAATAGCATACAAAATTTCAGGAGTATACTGAACTGTCCGCACTTTAAAATTCTAAATGGGAAGTCATTCAGTAGGAAACAATGCAGTGTTCTGAAGAGAGCACAGAACTTTGTGTTTATATGTTTATTTAAATGTTTCCATTTCCAAAATTTATTTGTTGTTCCTGATACTCCTAAAATTAGTTAATTTTAAATAGACATAACATCACGAACTTCAGCGCAAGAGTAGGTTTCAGATGATAGAGGAGATGATATACTCTAAGGGGCATGATGTTTTTTTCACTGTGAGAAACTTCCACAAATTTTCCTTGTCAGTATAACACCACTTTCTATAGCTTTAACTTTTCCATAAACTATATTCTAAGATATTTCTCTTCATCACTGTGATGATGGATATCTTACTACTATACTAAGAACATCAACCTGAAAGCCATCTCAAAGTTGGTACTTTTAAAATTAAGGACCACAAGGCAAAGAAGTAATTTCTCATATACTCAATAACCTGTGTTTTGCAGGTCTAGTATTATTTTATCTCCAGATGACAGTATTCATTTCCATATTCTTCATCAGTAGTTTCACATTCCTTCAGACACAAAAAACATTCTCACTTCAGCCTCTACAAGTCGCTTTCATTCTGTGCCATCCAAACTTCCACAACATTTGTATGCAGAACTCCAGGATGCCTATTTTATACCCAGATAATTACAACTTACTGGCACAAGAAAGGGACAGTCATCTGCTCTGCATAACTTTGTCACACAGTGAAGGAAGACCGTGGACATCTTCTGGTTCTTGTGCTTCACAAAGCGAAACACCTCAAAGGAAAACCGGCCCATTTGACTCTTGCCGTTTTCAATTATGGTTGTCTGCGGGTCCTTGTCACAGCTAGTTTTGGTAGAAAAGAGTGAAACTGGGATGAGCAGCTCTGTTAGTATTTTGAAGCTCTTAGCTGGGAATATGATAGCTTAAGCAGCAAGATCAACGCTTTAGTTCCTTGGAAATGAAAATATCTGCAGATATAATCTGCCTGCACCATTAGGCTGCAGGTTCCTCTGCTGAAACACATTTCTACAAAACCACTGTTTTGTTTTGCAGCACCAGAGCTATAACCATTTAATTCCAGTGCTCAAAGAAACTTGAAACCTGAAGCAAGAAGCAGGTATGCTAATCAGTATAGACAGGCAACTCCAAATGAAGACAGTACTTCTCCATTAGGTGTCATGGATAAAATTTAATTTAAGACATTGCCAGGATATTTTTCAAAGTTCCAATTCAAATAAATGTTATTACTGTGAGTAGAAGTAGGAGCATCTATTTATATTTAATCATTTGCTTAACTACTTTCCTGGACTGAAGTCTCTGATGTTTTACATCATTGTAATTCACCACATTCACCTTTGGTAAAATAAAGGCCAGTTTTGCCATTCACTTTAAGCATTTATGTTATCTCTGGTAGAAGTACTTTGGATATATGCTTTTCTGTCTTCATAATTCTTATGACTTGGCACCTGCTTCTATGTTTATGTTCACCCAAAAAGAAGCTCAGACATGTTATCTATAAGCCTAGCCCTTGGTCCTATCTACTAACAATGCTTAAACTTTCCAGGCAGTTTAAGACACTACTATTGAAAACGTTTATAATGATTTTTTTAAAGAAGGACCAACGAGATTCTGGGTTTGCAACAGGCTCTACCTGAAGAAAAGGTCATATCGAAGATCATCACTAGGATTGCCAGATGGTGTGGTGTAACAGTAGTCCATCAAAACATTCCACCTGCACAGGGAGTAAAGGGATAGATGAGGGGAGCTGGCAATGCAAGCATGGGGGGGTGTGAGTGAGGTGAGATGAAAGGACAGCACAGAAAAGCATACAAACAGGTAGTGCAGGCTGTTACAGTGAAACTGAGTTACCGTGTTAAACAGGTCACATGCCAGGCATCCTGTTTCTTCAACTTCTTAGAAGATTAAACAGCACAACATAGCAGCAGAACTTTATAAATCAAATAATTTGGTTTCATGTAAGTCAACCACCACACCAACACACACTGCACACCTCCTCTCAGAAATCATGGCCACAAAGGACTAGAAATCAAAACCAACCCACTTTTAAAAGCCCTGGATTTTCTCGTTTGGTCCAAGAGAGCCTATTCTTAAATAAAAAAGCAATATAGGATTTAAAGTCTAATTCAGGAAAACTTTCATAACGAGACCTGCAGCAAAATATGCATTCACTGCCAGGGACCTGACACCCTCCAGCTGAGAGCAGTGATTATTGAACACCAACCATTATTTTGAAATACAAAAAGCAATGAGGAAAGTACATGATTCTAAATCAGATAAGTAACAGGAGCTAAAAAGCAAGCAAGATAAGAAATAACACCCTCTATGGTACCTGCCATCAAGGTTGGTTGCTCTTACAGCTGCATATATTTTGGTTTTCAAAGGTAAACCTGTGCTTGGAATAAGGAGTTGCTGGCTGTAGGTTGAATCCTGTAAAACAAACATTGCCTCAATTGAAACAGAAATTCCACTTTAACAACCCATCTGCATCCAGACTGAGCTCTCAGCAATTTTTCTGACCCTTCTGTGTAGAATGATTGCTACTTAGTTCTCTGTAAGGGAAGAAGCAAGAAGTAATGCCAGACAAATTGCCTACAAGTTTGTCTGTAAAGATTGGCTTTGCCCCATGCAACAATTTGGGAGAATATATGATTTAATAAGGTGGTTGGCTCAGTGATTAAGGAAAACATATCATTCATTGCCACTTCAGTAAGTCTCCCAGAGCTTACAGGCACACAGAGAAGCTACTCTGGTTTTCTAATAAAGGAGATTTACTGGGTTGTCACACTGCACTCTTTCCCAGGAAAGGTTGCTAAGGTTATTTGAATTAGTGGAGTTAGCAATATTATCCATGAGATGTTATATATTTCAAACTATAGTCTGGGAGAACAAAGACATTCTGCTATGCCAAAGTGTAGTTTCTGTCTAAGTGGCTTATTGAAAATCACAAGTAACAAACATTTTCATTTAAATTGTAGTATTTCAAAAGAATTGTTTCAAGAAAGCTGTATTCAACACAAAAGTTGGGAATTCCCCATATACTACTACTTAAATATAGCTGTTTTACTGGGGCTTTTTGTTCAAAATCTCAACCATTAACATCACTTTACACTTTGCCAACAAAGCAATGAAAGAGATCTGCTCAACAGAGATTAACTGAGAATATCAAAATGCACTACCTGGTAAAGTCACCATTGTCAAATACAGTGCTAATACAGATAGCACAGTGACTCAGCATGTTGAGACCTCTTGTCAAAGTTCCAAACACTCGATATATATGAAAAAAACTGGTAGATAAGATTTCATCCAGGTTCATTGTGGCAAGTGAGACCATGGCAAGCAGCAAATGACAGCAACAAGAGGGTTTGCACCACAGACCAAGTGATTTTTTTTTCAAATGCCAAAATTAACAGCATGCCCAATATCTAATCTATGCAATATCAGAGGCCTTCAGGTAGGCTTAATAATAATCAGATTAATTATACATTTCTATAACAGTTCTGCCACATTTTGCAACTGATTAAAAAGTGCAAGACCTTCACTATTACACTCCATAGTTGCTCTTTATTCTTTAAGAGTAGTTTTTATTCATTTAGAGAGATGTTTGCAAAAAGGCATAAAAGCACATAGCCACTTAGGCTCTGTGAAAGCCTATTAAACATTTTGCTATTAAACTCTGAGTCTACCATAACAGCTCTTGTCTTTCCTAACAATGACATGTACTAGCATCACAAAGTAAATCTAAACAACACTTTGTGACAGAAGACAGAGGTAAGCTTAGAAGATGAAGAGTCAATGTTAAGAAATAGCCATACAGCTAAATTTGGAGAAGACAGCTTGCAGTCAAGAGACAAATCTGTACACATCCCCTCACTAATAGCAAGGGTGGACATGAGCCTTGAGGCCCAAAACAAGGACTACTAACAGGGATCAAGCGAGCTCACAAGACAGCAGGTGTCCAGAGGCACTCCCAACAAGGAAAGATGCAGGCAGTGCAGGCAGTGCACAAGCTGTCCATGTATTTACCCAGCCCTGGGGAGTGAAGCAGAAGGGCATATCCACCACTGGAATCTGCCAGCCTTAGCAATATTATTCATTGACAGTGCTACTCATTAGGGCGAGTCATGTGGCTGCTACCACCACTGGTGACGGTCAACTTGTAAACTTATACAGGGGTGGGCAGGATGAAAGCACATTTTGGCTTTTGGAGATCTCTCCAGGAAATAATGTGCTCAATATGAGCATCAATAGCATTTATTCCTGGCTGTTTGCTGAACCAGGCCCTGAAAGGCAGTCAACATGCAGTGGTCAATGCTTGGTTTGACTGAGAAATTTGCCTTCTTCATTCTGCCCCATCTTTTTTGATCACAGGTTTATTTAAAAATGAGAGAACTATAATCATCATTTTAACAGATTATAGGTTGTTATTTGGAGCTTTGCTCTTTCAAACAAACATGATTTTTTAGAGAATGCCATTGAAAAATGTCCTGTTGCAATATTTATAGCTCATTATGTTCAAAGCATAAAGCATTGACTTTTAAATCAGTTGCATGAATTATAACTCAGCAACACGATGGCATGAATAATAATGCAAAAAAAATCGGATTCATAATTTACAAAAAATGATGCTTGATAGATTGAAAAATTTATATTTAAATCAGGTATTTAAAATGTATGAGTAAAAATTTTAATCAACACAAAAATATAATTTCAGGGATTAATGTTAAATAGAGGTCCTTGCATTTTTCATGTTTCAGTGACACCAACCCATTTACATGGTAAAAGCTTTTACAATAACGCATATTCAAATTATCTAAAACATAAGGAAGAACCATTGGATGAAAACTGTCATAATTATTAACCCTTTAAATCTTTAAAGTCCACACCTTAAGGCAGCATATACATCAGGATATAGATTTGGAACTGATGCATCCTTCACAACAACCACAGATGACTGAAACACTCTGATGAGGCTTGAACATAAAAATACCACAGCCAAAGTGCTACAGTTCATTGCTATGGGAATAGGTCTGGAATAATTTTATAGAATTCTGCAGAGTACTCTCTGTTTAGGCACAAAGCACCTATAGACACACAGAGAAACATAATAAATGCAAACAAAATATGCACTCTGCAGTATGATTGTTATGGCTACAATTGATGGGTCACATGGCACTACCAGCTGGAAGGCAGAGCTGTAAATTGAGGAACTGTATAAATACAGGACAAAAAGACTGTGTCTGTCCTCAAAGACCAGCCATATAAACCCAAGACAGCAGGTACATGCAAACAAAAAGGAAGAAGGAATTCAGAGAAGAAAGATGCCTGGAAGAAAGTCTTGGCTCATGGGGGGAGTGGGAAGAAAACAGCAAATTATGAAGAGGAATCTATACTTTCATCTGCTAAAACAGTTTGTAACCATATAGTGCAGAGATTAATTCAGTCCAGGTCATACTGTGTTTTGTACTCACATTGTAAAGCAACAAATTCAAAGTGCTGATAAATGTACCATTGTTCTCTCTTACAGAAATAGCAGCGGATGACCTACAACAGACCCAGAAACCAAAAAACCATCATGAAGAAAGATACCTTATTTTTGTTTTTGCATACTTCAGTAGGCTTTATCATTAAAAAACTCAATGAGTCATATCACAAGGAGTTAATTTATGCATTTGGGTTATAAACTTCAGAAACAGGAATTTATAGTGGAAATACTGACAGTCTTAACTATGCAGAAAATAATGGATGGTAGTGGAAACACGAATCAGAAAAATAATTAGCAGAGAGGCAAAATGACAAAAAGGAACTCACTTGACATGATGTACAAAGTTTACTCATGGAAATATTTTCTCTTGCATTGTATATTTACAAGTTTCTATTTCATGAAGAATTTTTTTTTCTGCTATAATTTTTGAGAAGAAAACCTGAATTTTAAGGGAAGTTTTACATTATCTAAGGGTCTCTTCATAACAGCAGGTCTTCATAAATTATATTATCTCATATAATGACACCACAGAATTTTCTTTTTCCTTGCAATACTTCTTCTTTTGATGCTTTTTCCTTTCCCTTTATTCTTAAACAGCCAAAATTGCTACAATGCTGTTTATGGCCTGCACATATGCATGCTCACACAACCATGGGGATGAAACACATAGAAATGAAAAAGTACTTACGAAGCAAGCTGGGTATTGTTAACCAAGTACTCCAGTGGGTAGCTACAGCTAAATTTGTACAGAAGCCCAGGCAAATAGCTGATAATCGTTGGTGGGTCTGGTGTATCAATATAGCCTGAAACATTACCTATCTGTACCACTGAGGTATTTCCATAAGCATTGCTACCTCGAGCTGAGGATACCTATTGAGGAAGAGAGAAAATTACTATTAGCTGAAGTTAACTGTAGAGCAAAAGAACTTAAGGACACTGATGGTTTAGTCCATAATTTACCCTGAAGTATCTTTACTAAAACATTCAAAAATTATTTAGTTTAATAACATCTTCACTGTGTTCTGTTTTTCACCTCCCTGGAATCCTGCATATAAATGTCACAAGCTGTATCCCTGTTCTTAGAAGAGACTTGAGCAACATTTGAAAAGAATTATGGATCTTAGAAGCATATTTTTTGGTAGGTACTTTTTTCTCTATATTCCCAATTAATTTATGCAACTTATTGGGAAAAACTAAAGCAACTTTTCTATTACTGTTGAAAAGTATTACCTTACAATGAGCTTCTATATCCAATAAAAAGGCCAACACACAAGCAATTTTGTCCACAGAAACAATATTCTCTCACTGTTGTGCTTCAGTTTGGACATCAAAAATAAGGTACTTTTATAAGCAGATACAATCCAAATAGTTGAACTTTGAGCGTGGCTGTCTTTATATTATATATTTCTAAATCTTACATATAAACTATAAACTGTCAGAAATTACAGAGCTCAAAAGTAATACAAAATTAATGTCAATGCAACCTGAATTGCATCCACGTGCTATTCTGTGTTGCTCAGCTCACAGAGTGTGAAGAGCCTGCAAGAACACACAGTCCTCAGGAAAACTGAGGGACACTTCCCTGCTGGTATCAGCCCAGCCCCACTCCATCTGTAGCTACTGATCTGAATAAGGGGGCTGTGTGAAAACAACTGAGAACAGCACAAATTCCTTTCTCAGTAGGCACAGACACAACGGGGCAAATTAACATGGCACTGGATTTCTACTGCAGCCTCTCTTTTGTACAACTGTATTAGCAAAACAGATGTTCTCAGTAGCTTTAAAACACATGGTTTCTTAAAAAACTATTTCATTATGGAAGAATCATCCTTAGGTGCACATGAGTCGTAGTATTTTGCAGTAAGTAGCACAGGATGCACAGCAGGAATTTTGATTTCTTTGTCCATCAAAAACACACCTAAAAGACAGAAGCAGGCATGCATTTTGCCCATAGCGTACTTAATTTTTTTAATGGCACAAAAACGTTGAAAATAGAATTTTCCAGGATCTGAGTTTTTGCCTAAACAGTACAGGCTAAATTAGTACAGTCAACCAAAGCTTTTTTAACTTCCTCACCACCCTACTCCCATAAAGTAAAAAGCTGAGCCTGCTGTGTTACAGAAAGACATGGGTTTTACACAAGTTCTGCCTGAACTGTTGTCTTTCCTTTACTTTTATTGAAAATTAGCTTGAAGGTCTTCGCTGTGAAACACGGCCAAGAAATGCAGGGGATTGTAAAACTCCAGTGTGGGGAACATGATAAGAAATGCTCCCTGCTCCATTTTTGTCTTCACTTGGGGGCACAGCATGAATAAACAGAGAGGATGGAGGAATGTTTTTTATTATATTTTTAGCAGCTGCTTTGTCTTTGTATTCAGTGCAGCCTGATGGGGGACTTCATGGGAAGCTCCAATTATTTGGACTTATCAGACCAGGGGGTCTTTTTGTTTTGTATTTTAAACATCAATCTCTTACGATTATGATCAAATAGCAAGTTCGGAGACTTTACAAGGTGACCAGCTACACAGGAACAGGCAGAAGTTGCTTCCTGGAAAATTCCTCTACTGCAAGTCAGAGGTGCTACAGCTGGAAAAGAGAGTCTTGAATTGGCTGAACTGGGTTTTGTTGAAAGTTTAAGTCCTAAATCTTAAAATAAGATTTTACCCTAAGTCACAGAGCGTATCAAACATTTCAGCAAAATTATTTGTAACAAAACAGGGGGTTTGTTATAAAAATTGACAGGGAGCAAGTACAAATAAGATTTTGGAGATAATAAAAGACTTGAAAATAATACATTTTTAAACTTTATTTTTAAGTGATTCATATGTACATTGATATCACTCAATGTGATACACATGAACTATTAAACTCTCCACTTCTTCAAAATCTAAGGCATGATCAGCAAGACTTTTAGAAAGACCTTGGAACAATCTCATTCTTCCACTGAAAAAATACTTAAAAATAATTACACTTTCTAATCAGAGGACAAATGTGTGTCCTACCATATTTTCTCAATAGTAATCAAGATTATAAATTACCAGCTTCCTCTGGTTTGTTTCCAACTGGACAAGACAAAGTAAATATTATCTATGAAAGATACAATGCTGTCAAGGGCATTCACTTGATCCTATGTATACATAACCATGCTATAATTTCACTTTGATTTGGTCTTACCACTAAAGTGTTTCCACAAGATTCCAAAGTACTCAGATTGATGATGAAAATAACCACTGCTGGAAAGGTGTTATTATTGATGAAGCCCCTGCAGTGGGCATCCCCATGTTTCCCATTCAGTGCCAGATCTGTCTCAGAATAACCAGAAAAAAGAACTGTGCAAAAATTTATCTTCATAGTAATTGTCTGTACTCCACAGAAAACATTGATATCTCGCTCAGCTGCAACAAAAACACAGGGAAAGACATTGTAAGAAGATTTGAAGTAATCATTATACAACTATTATAGCAGTTAGTCTAGTGTTGTGACTTCCAATCAAATAATTTTTTAGATTTCAGTTTCAGGAAAATATTAGAGTATAAAGGTAGGAATTTCATTAGTCTGAAGAACAGATTTGACTCTACCATTTTGCTGAAGCAAAAACCAAAAGTTAATATAGTAACATAGCGTAAACAAGCAAGAAATATATTAATCCCGCAGCAAATCTTTTAGTAGCACATTTGTAAAATGAAACACTGCAATAGAGTAGAAAACAGCAAGTGTTTAAATATTTGGAGTCTGATTAAGCAGCCCCCTCTGGAACAGAAATTCCCAGCAATTTTGAGAAATAGAGAAGGCCAAGCTCTGCCCCCCAGCCCACTCTGGCATGACAACTGGCTACATTTTTCTGAGTTGTCTGGAGTCCACTTTGTATGAGATCACAGTCTCAGGCTGTGCAGACTTTGAAGTACAATCACAGCATATCAGAGTAATTTATTATGATCTCTCTAAAGTTGGTTTTCCCTGGATTTTGGCTTTGGGGTTTTTTTTAAGAACCATCAACTTGAGCTTTAATGAAAAATCAGTTGGCTCTTGAAAGACTACGATCAATACCACAAAGCATCTTGCAATCTTTCATTCTGTGCATTATGACAACACAAAAGACCTAGAAAGAAGCAGCTGTTAAAACTGATCAATTTTTGAAAAGCAAAAAAAGTGTCTTTGCCAATTTGACCTTTTATTCAAAAGCTTTGAAGATTTCTATGTTCTGAATGGAAAAGCATCAGGTTCAGATACAGGCACAAGCAACAGACTGTTTTGCTTTAGAGCTCTAACATTGCTCTTCTTTAAGGTCTTCTTTGCCCATAGATGGCTGGGGGGGCTGTTCTGGCGTTTCCCCCCAGTGCTTTACAAAAATACATACTGCATTGTATTAAACACAGACATTACTCTTTTATAGAAGTAATTTATTACATCTGTTTAAAGATTAAGGGCTATTAAAAATTGTAGAACAACTTCAGTCAATACTGTACCATTAAGCCTGCTAAAATGAATTGTTTCACTTCGTAGTCACAGCAGAGAGGAAATGAAATTTCCATTACAATGAACTAGTTCTTCCCCCATGGTACAGGAGCACAAGTAGTTTAATTTAGACAGCTTTAATGGTGGCTTTCAAGCCAAAACAATCAAGTGCAGAAAATAACAGGCCAAACTTAGTCCTGAGCTAATACCATGATAAATGTTACTCACTGGGTGTAAATCTGGGCAGAAAGGTACTGGAGGCGAGAGAGGAGTTGAAGTGATTTGGCATGAAATTCTCCTGGTTTGTACCCAATCATAATCCCACTAATGTAACGCACAAAGATCAGGAAGCAGCATGCCTTCGTTTTCTCTGCAGGAGGACTATTACTGTCCATTTAATGAGTGTACCAAGGTAGAGGGGCCAGCACAAAACAGGGAATGGCAAAGTGTGCATTTATGCTTCCTTGGACTGATGCACAAACAGATCATAACGAATTACAGGATGTAACAAAGTAGCTCAGGTAATTTCATAACTACTTTAAGCCTTTTCAGAAAGCAGAATAATAACTTCACCAATTAACTTATCATTACTGCTTGCAAAATTATCATTTGACACTATGGGAGATGAGACTTATCATACAAAACCAACTTTCGCGTGATACAGGAGGAGGATAAACAACCTTTCCAGACTTAAACTTTTCTGCCCGCTATTTCATGAGGAAGTATTGCTGCCAAATTAGTCCATTCTGGAAATAAAACATTTTTCATGCAGAAATTTATCTGAACCCAGTCCCAAACAGATCTAATGCCCTCTTAGATGCTAAATATCTAGCACATTTCTTGACAATTTGGGAGGGTAAATATTATTCCTATATAAGTTAAAAGAAACAAACCAACAAAAACTATTTGCATTCCTGCATTAAAAGCCTCTGGTTTTCTGAGTCAGAGGAGTGATGGCTTGATGGTTATGGCACCCAGCTGGTGAAGCCTTAACTGTAAGGGCTCAGAGCTTCCATACAGGCAAATTTGGTTTCTTTCTGACTCAAGTCACACAAGCTATCTACAGCCAGAAGTGCTCATGGATGTCTCTCAAGCAAGAGAGTAAAGCCCAAGAGGTACACAGATCCTACAGAAACAGAGACCATCTTGAATTATGGGCAGACTCATGGGGGCAAATGCTGGGAGCTTCACCGCCCACTTCTGCTCTGTTATCCCTCCACACATTGACAACTCACCCCAGGGCAGGCAGCAAAAAAACCCTCAGAGGAGAAGAGTTTCCACAGAACACTATTGATAAAAGTCATTCCATCAGAAGAGGAATGAAAAGACCTCTGTAATTCAAAACCAGTTTCTCCTCATGAACCTCCTCTTTGATCAAATCCCTGCTTTGATATTGAATTAAAATGCATAATGTATGTGAAAAAGCTGCAACATTTCCTCAGTCCCTACAAAGTTCTCAACATGAACTCAAGACAAGACCCCCTAAATCAAAACTGCATGTCCCAACTGGAGACAGACTAATATGGCTCTATGCCCCAGAAGCCTTCTAAAAGCTATACTTCACTGCAATGCAGAACTAAAGTTTTTCCCTATGTAAGCTTTCTAAATGATGGCAAGATCTAACCTAAATATGTATTCTCTAGAACAAATCTAGCTTTGGTACAAAAAAATCACTGCATTTTCAGTCTACCAAAAATGGGGCTATTTTTCCTTCATTCCTGATGACTATTGCATACCTGCACTCTAAAATAAACCTGCAAACTGCAGAAACAAAAGTTCTGTTTGATTGTCATCCTATTTATGCAGCACTATTCCTATGCAAGAAGTCACCTAAGCAATGAATGATAAAAGCACAAACAAATGAAAAATGGATGAGCTCCATGGTTCCTCTAGGAAGGCTTCATTTGTCCTCTTTGTTGAAGACAACTCCTGTTTCTTATCAACATTTAAAGAAAAAGAGGAGACAACTGCAACACCCAATGGCTTCTCCAGTATACTCACGTCATGCTTGGAATTCCAGCTGACAGCAATAAAGACTCCTTGTGTGGAACAAATAAGGAACAGGAAGAAAAATCTACCCACAACAAGGCTCTGTGAGTACTATCTCAACCTGGAAGATACTGGTTTTAAAATGTTCTCCTTTTTGACCTCTCCTGAGCCAGGTGCTGGGGAAGCCAGCACAGGAAGAGTGAGCCCCTTCTCCCTGCAGAGGCTCTCTCCATCTTCAGCAGCCTCACAGCTCCAATAGCCCCAGCCCATTACATAGCAAACCCTTCTGCATATTGAAAATAACACCTGTCAAATTGGGGCAAAAGGGGTTCCTGGCTTTTAACTCCATCTCAGATGCACAACTAACAAATAGAATTATTTTTCTTTTCTAGCTCTCAACATCAACAGTAAGACTGTTGATTAAATCCCGGCCTTTGAATCTTTTATGACAAACAAGAAAAAGAAGGACTCTGCTCTCAGCACTTATGGCCAGTTAGGGGTGATTAGAATTTACTTTAAGAAAAATCTGTTTGCCTGTAACCTAAACAGATTTTCTCCCAAGTCAATGAGATTTGGCAGACATGGAATCTGATACGACTCATTTTTATGAGGCAGAGCTGCAAGAGGCCCCTAAGTATCCTCAATAAGAGATGAATTCAATTCGCAGGTATCGCATTGCAAACAAACATTGGCACAGAGCAGGTGCAAAAAATGACCAGAGAAAAATTTTAAAACATAGAAAGAGGAACATAAACTTCCCTCTATCTGTTGCAAACATCTCAAGAAGTCTGAAATTAGGACCAGATAAACCACAATTACATAAGAAACTCAAAAGGTAACTCCAAAGCAGGTGGGAAAATTCACTCACACTTCAGAGGTAAGCCTGCAAAAATTGATGCTAAGTGGAATATATATATTATGAATAGAATAGGAATATATACATTAAAAAGTAGTTTGCAAAATACTCAGCTAAATTGTGATTTTCTTGGAAATGGAGACAATGTACTTAATCTTCTTTGCATGTCTTATTTCACTGTTCTTCACATTCATATTGATTAAGTGGAAAAGAATCAAACCTACTGTTGGTCCTTATGCCAACAAAACACCTAGCAGTGTGATAGTAACATGGGAATCAATAAACCGACTTTCTGCCTTCTGCTGACTTAAATTTAATAAAAGAGCTGACCCCTCCTGGAAAAAAAAAAAAATCAAAACTTTTATTATTCAGAAAGCAACAACAGGAGAGGTATTACAGTGTAATACTACACTGAGTGTTCATTACTGAACTATTCAAGTCAATCGCTATCTCAGAAAAACAAGATATGAGAGAGACAGTATTCACAGGCTTCTTTTTATTATTATTATTCTGCCCATGATACAACTGAAGCAGGAAGGATCAGCAATGTAATAGAAACTAAAGGAGCCTTTGCCTTGGTAAACCTTGATACCCATGCCACCAAGACTGACATTTCATTTCTATTTCTCATTGCATTAACAGCTCTGAGCATCCAATGTCCCCAGAATGGCTTCATTCCCATTTTCTTAGAGGAAGGAAAATACATCATCTATAGACACAACTCATTGCTTCACATGTCCCTAAGCAAGGACTTAATGTTGAAGTGAGGCACTAAAATTTTGCCATCAAGGTAATTTTGCTTAAAATAGATACCTATTTCTTTATTTTATTAAAAGGATATAATTATATTCTCTTACCCAGGAAAAGAAAACTATAAAACCCAAACATGAAAGAAAACCCAGTTAGAAGTGAGAGTGTTACATCTATAGAGAACATTTACAACAATATGAGCTCTGGTGAATGTCTCGGACAGTTTAGAGCACTGGCAAAAGCAGGTCAAGCCCCACTGGTGTGAGGGGAATTGTTTGCCTTGCTACCAGGCTCAATTTGACCCATTGTGCAATTAAGAAGGAAGTAAAGTGCAGCATTAGGCAAGTTCATTGTCACAAAAACAGTTAACACTCACTTAATGTGGAGTCCTACCCCCAGGCCTTAGACAGATTTAAAGCTCTGTATTTAAAAATAAGCACTGCTTTGAACCAAGACAATAAAGAAGCCATTAGAAAAAAGTCTATTAAATACTTACCAGGAAACCTGCTATGGAGGTTAGCATCGCAGTTGTATCCATTGAACTGAGCAGTCACTGGGAGCACTTTAATCGTCAGCAGGAGCAGCAACCATACCTGTTCCATTGCAAAACCTAGCAAAACATGGAGTGGTTATTATACACATCTGTTCATTGCATTAAAGATGCTCACTGCAAACATTCTGCTGCTGGGAGGTGATGATCTCCAGCAAAGGAACTGGGGATAAAGCTCACAAGCTTCTGGGAAAGAGGTCACAGACAGCAGGGCCCATTTCTCTGCTCCTGAGTAATGTCTAAATTCTATTAACTTCTAACTTCAATCATAACTTGTGACAAAATAAAAGGCACTCAAGGATAATAGAAAAGGGAAAAAAAACCAAGCCTAAAATATAATGATAGATTAGAATTGCTTGAATATTTAAATTCCAACCATTTTTTGATGTTTCAGCGTAAAATTGCTGAAGAAAGACATCTTGGCTATAATAAAACTATTTTTCCAAGTCATAGAAAACCACAGAAATAAATGGTAAGCTCAGAAATTCTGGAGGTTCAAGATCTTTTAATAAAAACTGGTTCATATCTATTTGCCAAACATTTATTCTTTGCAGCACAAATGCAATTAAATTGAGCTTCCACAAAGAGCTGGTACAGACACTTGCATCTACTTGAATTGTATCTGGCAATCAGAACATATGAATTTCAAGTGTTCTCCGTAATGATTCCTTTTGCAAGGAAAGCTCCAAGGTGTAATACCTGTGGTATTTACCACAACCAAAAAAAATCCCAACTTCTTATACATGTCTGTCAAAAACATCCCAAAATATTGAGATTTTTGTCAGTGAATCCAAGTGCACTAATTTTTTTGTTTGGTTTATTTTGTTTGTTTATTTGGGGTTTTTATATATGTAAGATTTTGTCATTCTAGAGAATATAGCTGCTGATGTAGACCCCAAATGTGGCAACGCTCTCTATTTGCCTAGACAGGAACTCAACAATTCTAAGATTTAGGAAATTGCTTCCTCTAAGACCATAGATCACCTCTCTCCAAGTGGATAAGGTACATGTGCAAACTCCAGAGATGTAGCACACCTAATTGCAGCCATACCTGGCATGGCAAGGGACTGTCCTGCATTGCTGAGAAGAGCTGGCCACAGCACATGGAGAGAACACTTGAGACAAACTCTAACTCTTTACTGGATCTTTCAAGGCTACACAGCAGTGTGAGCTACTTCTCCTCAATAATGCAAAAGCTGTCACTAATTTTCAAACCATGCTGAAAGAAAGACCCCTAGAGGACACTCCCACATGCTTTGTCAATTAACAGATCAACTCCAAGAAAACACTGACCCAAATTCTACTAAAAGGTCAAAGGTGTGTCCAAGTGTACAGCCAATGATTCCTGTGCAATTCTGCTCTGAAGTACACGGAATAAAACGCAGAATTGGAAACACCAGCTTCCAGCTAAGCATGCACATTTGGGAAGTCAGGTGTAACTTTTGCTACTATCACATCCAAAAGCAGCTCTCCCACCTAGTTCTTCACAACTTTCTCAACGAGTGAGTTACAGCAACAATGCAACCTCCTTTTTGTTTCAGGTGGATACCTAATTCCAAACAAAAGCACTCTTTGACTCTCAACACTTTCTCCATTAGATTCCTGTGGAGATTGACAGCACTTGCAGGTAATGTTGATGAAGAATTGTGAAAACATAAGAAAGAAAATAAAATTTCCAACTGGGTTGCTATGAAACCTCTGTATTTTCATGATCTCTTCACCCTTTCATCACTCTCAGATGGAGAAGCACAGCAGTGTTTTGCTTGTTTGTTTACTATGAAAATTCATATGTTATTTTGAAAGAAACATCTTTTCTTTCAGAATATTGGCATTTCTCCAGTGTTCTGGAGCCTTACCTCTGCTTGTACATACAGCAGTTACATTGATAAAGTGGATATTACTGTTCTCTTGTATATGGGCTGGTTTCTGATGTCCATTACAATGGGATATATCAAGGGCAATTTACCAAGATCTAAATCTGAGTTTAATTTTCTAACACCCACAGAGTGGTTTTCTGCTAGTAAAAAAGACTGTTTGAAAAGAGTTAAATGAAAGATGCCACTGATAAAGCTGTAATTATTATTTTATATGAAAAGCAGAACTTCACAATAAATTCTAAAATTTTAATTATTAAACATAACTTAAACTGCTGCATTTTGGAAGAAGAATAGATGATTGCTAAGGAACAAATCTGAATTAAGACATTAAGTATTTATAGCATTATTTCTCTAGCTGTATTCAGAACAATTCAGATTTTAACACAACCAATAATGTCCTACTTGCTTTTTGGCTATTGACTCATCTGTATATGAATCAACATGCAAATCCACATCAGCAATTGAGCTGACTCCTGCTGGTTTTGGTTAAATAAGCTATGAATATGCATAATTTTTCATTTTTCAAGAGAACTGTAGGGCTAGAAAGCATCCTGAGAGGCCAACATCACTGATCTGCCCACCCCAGACACAACTAAGGCAGCCGTTTTGGCTTTTCCAGTCTGGTCTTAAAGGCCCCTAGCAAGCTATTTCTCAACAGAAATTTCTGAACTTCAGACCTCCCAAATATATAAGGCATCCTAACCAAAAGTTTTCTACCATACCAATATGGCTGACCACTTAATACAATTATAGAAGCATAAAAGTTTTATCAAATAGTAACAGGAACATGATATTATTGCTGGCATATAAATATGAAACTAAAAATCCATGTACAAAATCATAAGATAGCAAGCGTCAGGAATGGGATGATTTATAATTCCGGAGTGAAATACATGAGGATGTTTTCTTCATTTAGTATGCAATTCTTAGGTTACCTTTTTTGAGGAATGCTGTTCTTGGTGGTTTAAAAACAAAAGGCTGCTTTGATCTACAACAAACATATTTGGCTGTTAAGAAGATTCCCAGGATTAAAAAGATGCCAACACATACTGCAAGGGAAATCTGACCCCTTCTGTTCATTAAACTCCTAAACAACAAACCCACATCACGTTTCACTGATTTACCAAGACTCAGGCCCTGCTGTCTGTGCTGCTCATCACTGAAGAGTACAGAGAGGTCAGAGTTGCAACAGCCAGTGCTCACTTTAATTGCTATCACTTTATAAAGCCCTTGTCCCTGCTTTGATAAACTTCACCATATCAGAAAACCTGCAGAGAATTCCCAAGTAAAGATGTTTATGATTTAAACATCACAAGCTTTTGCAGTCAATTTAGGAATTTAATTCCACTGAGAAACTATAGTTTGAGATAATTTCCCTCTTCTTTCCTCTGTCATGACCTGATATTAATTTCCTTTCTCTCTCATGCTCTCTAAAAAGATCTTCAAAAATTTTCCATTGTCAACAGTATTCACTGACTCAGCCCTACATTTTTATTGAATTGCATTTGTGAGCCAGTTGCAACTTCCAAGTACATTATTATTTCAAATATTCTTCCTGTATTTTATAAGAACTTTCTATAGTCCACTGCTTATTTTCTATTTTTAATCTACAGGGTATGCAGTTCAGCAGAATAATATGGTGATCCTCATGCCTTCTGACTGGATACATCTTTTAAAAAGAATAGTTAATAGTAATAACAAAAAATTCTGAAAGAAAATTATAGATGTGATGAGCACATAATAGGCTGGTGCCACATTCATAAGTGTTTTCATAAATGCCTGGTATACCCAGTAACTGCTTAAATGTTGTCTAACAATGTACACTAGGTATCTACAAGTAATGGAGTAGGAACATTACTTCTGCTCACAAAGTATTTTCAAATTATCATTACATAGTTCAACAAGCCCATCTCAGCCATCTCATGACAAAATAGTTCCTTGTCCATCTGAATTGCATTCATCTTTCTGCCACACTTGTTTCTGCACGTGCACCCAAGATGTGAATAGTTGTGAAGCGCATTTACTGTGCCACTCTCAGGTCCTCCAGAACCACTTTGCTTCTAAACACACACGAGACTGTTTGCCATCACTTAAAAGTAACCCAGTGAACAAAAACAGAAGAATATCTCTCTACTTCAAGTTCTTCAGTGGAACTTTTTCTTTTGACTTGTACATCCTGTTGAAATAAATTATCCAGGTTGTTTTCACTATCGCCTTCCACTTTATATCCTTGGGTCTTATGATGCAGATAAAACAGGACTTAGATCTTTACAGCAACTGTTTTAAAGATACATCTATCAAAAGGTGATAATTGCCTTTTTAAAAGTCTTTTTTTTAATACATAAAGGGCAACCGAGATGCAAAGAACTTTAAGACAAATTTCAAGTACAAAATTTCTCTATGTTTGTAGATAATCTCTGGACCTGAAACTTTGAAACACCTATATCTTTTTTAGAGTGTTCTGTGATTTCAGACCCCATAGTGCCATCACATTTCTGACACCTAGAAAAACCTGCAAAATTGAAAAAATAAATATCTACAGACATGCACATACATATAGGTACATGACAAATGCAAACACACAGAGAGGCACACACACGAGCCTTGCAGTTCCACAGTTTCCTACTAAACCTATGAACAGCCTGTATATTCCCAAAATTACAGTATTTAAGGCTCACAGCAAATTCAACATATATGAGGAAATAATAAAACTAAGAACATCAGAAATTGGTGCACCTCAGAATGTACAAAACCAGTAGATTGTTCACACATGGAAAATGTGAAAATATTTTTGCTTAAAATAAATAAACTAATCTCTCTCATAGCAATTCAGAACACAGCAGTTGTGGACTGAATGAGAAAGACCATGATTTAAAAACACACATTAGTCAGGCAGAGACTTGCCTTCAGCATCAATCATCTGGCCTCAGAATGACCTGTATGTATTTCCTAGTCATATTTTTGCCCTCAATTCTTGAGATTTATAAAAAGGAATCCTGAATTAATTCCATAATATATTAGATTTGTAATTAAATATCAGGTCAAAGCTTGGAACACCTCCTTAATCAAAATACTACCAGAACCAAATGGGAGCTTTCCCTGACCAATTCTAAATCATAGCTAAAGTCTCAAATGCCAAGATGTTTTGTGAATCAAGTAGGTGCCCATACTGTCC